GAAGTAGTTCTGATCCATTTTTGCATTCCATGAACAAAATGAAAATTCAGTCCACCATGTAGCATGGGAACAACAAAAAGGTCATGGGTTGTATGAGAAAACCTACAGTACTTATTATTCTTTGGAAAAAATATAGATGTATAAGTACGATTTGTAAAATCCATGTATGTTTTACCAAGGAAGTAGATCAGGTTCTTAAAGCTAGGTTGCACAGTCCATGCCAAATTCTCTGAAATCTTACTAATGTTGAAATATCCTACTCCAGGTTTTTACTCTATTTTGGTTTCATTTTGAATACTAAACTTTCCATACTTTTAATATAATACTTTAGAGAGCAGAAGCTGTGCAAGTTTCTGTTAACTGATAGAAAGACTGTGGTGCCTTTCCTGTAATTCAAGCTGGTTTAATATTGAATTTATCACCAGGACATTTCAAATTATAGTTAGAAAGAGAGTGAACAAGCAGAATATTGCAGTTATTTGCATTTTTTTTACAAATGGACTTTGAAAACTGTTGTTCTAGTTAAACAACACAATATCTTCATAAGTGAGATTGGTCTGATAATAAGCATCTTTCCAGCTCTCATGTCATTGCAGTAACAGAGCAGCCATCTCGACTGCCTTGGATGCTCACTTCTGTAGTGGGCAATGCAGTTCTGAATGAATAATCTTCTGGGCCAGGATCCAGAGCAGAATCTTCTAAATTATTTTAACATGGAGATCACCAGGAGCATGTCCCATGTATCAGATTAGAGGGAGTAGTGTAAAGGCTACATCAGTGAAGATCAGGTCAAATGTACTAAGGAGAGTGAGATTTTAATACTGTCTGCTACATTGTTGAGCCACAAGATATTTGAATTTAGTATGCTGGCTTTTAAGACCACTCTGAGCCTGAGAAATCTGAAATAGAAGACAGCACATTTTCTATTTTTCTTGGCTTTTCCCTCAATCTCTGAGAATTAAACAAACTCCATAAGGTCTGAAAAGTCCAAAGGTCTATAGCAAAACAGCTCCTTCAATAACTACTGCAGAGGCCAAGACAACCATCTAAGGCAAAAGTGGCTTACTTTTTGTCAGGTAATGCTAAGGGAAACCTATCCTACCAAAGCATGGCCATTTATCCCCATGTCAAGCTACAATTCCCAAGTGAAATATTACTTTGTCTTAGCAGTGGGGCAAATGATCCCAAAGGCTTGTGCCTTGTGCGTTACAGTTCTACTCTTTGTTAGAAAAGTTCATGGGGTTTTCTCTTCTTGTCCCCCAGCTGATGATGAAAGCATCCAAGTGGGTGTCCACCGACAGTTCCTAACACGCTCCACATGCAAGTTAAACATGGTCCCTGGCAAACAGTACCTCCTCATGGGGAAAGATGGGGAAACAGTCGACTGTAACAACAAGTAAGTGCAATGGTTTCTGAGCAGCAGCAGCTGCTACCACGGACCATAAATCCAGAGGATACTCAGTCTATGAGAATACCTCCAAAAAGCAAAGGTGGGACCAAATTTCTCAGAGACTGATTCTACTGGATTTACTAAAAAGCAAAGAGTTCCACTCCATAGACAAAATGGTAGCTGTGAGGAATGGCTGAGCCACCCAAATCTATTGGCTCATGCATCTTTGCAGAGCCTGGTTCCCAGACTTCTCAGAATTAAGTCTGGCCCTGACTCCACTGGGTTAAAAACTCACAGCTGGGAAAGGAGAATGGAAAGAGTTGCGTGGTCCACCTACTGTAGATGCTTTAAACAACTCCTGTTTTTGCAAAAGAAATGAGCATTACCATGACTAAGAGCAGCCCCCAAAGTTTTTTATATCATACATGTAAATAGCATATTCTTCTAATTTCCCATTGTCACTCTTTAATAAAAAAAAAGACAATTTATTTGAGTAGGAGTTTACTCTGACACTATCAAATATTCAGGGACGAAGGCATCTTAAGTGTTTCATTTCCCTTCACAGAAGTGGAGAAAGGTAGTGCCTCTGAAAACTTCTAGGAGGGAGACCCCCATCAAATTGTGAGCGCCACTTCCTAAAACCTTAAACAGTCCCACCCCCATGTCTGTATGACACCAAAGTGAGTGTCTAAGCAGGGACCTTGTTCAGCAGAAGCCTGCTAAAGACTGGGGCCTCCTGGAAGAGGTGTAACCTCCAAAGTCTTCTCCAGTCCAGTTATAAAATACTCGAAGTAACACAGCTTCTCAGCACAAAAAAATTAGGAAACATTTTGGGACACTGTTGAAACTAAACTGCCCCTCACTGTGTCTCACTGATGTGCACTGGGGTCTTTTATGCCACTCTGGAAAGCTCTAACAGAAACTTAGCCCAGGCTTACCTGACATTCTCAAAACACCAGTACAGCCAGGTTTGTCCCAGCTGAGCACTGACACTTCTCAAACTTTATTCAAAGCTCAGTTAACCTGCTGGTGAAATTAAGTTTCAGGAAAGTTTCTTAGCTAGTATAACTCCTCATCTCAGAGATGCCTCCGTGGAGGCATGCAGCATCTCAGGGATTATGCTTTCCCATTGCTCCATGTCAGGAATAATGACTCATCTTCTTTATCTGTCCCATTTTCACTCAGGATGCAGTACTTCCTTGATGCACAAGCCTGGATAGAGAAAATTCCAAGCACCAGTGAGTGCCGCAGCACCCTGCGTCGGCAAAGCTGCGCTCACCTGCAGGACTTCCTGAACACGTCTGACAGCCTGTGCCTCCTCTGATCCCCACATCCTATCCGTGCGACTGCGGCTTGCCTCCTTCCCAAATTTTTTTTGCAAAGAATGTGCACCCAAGTGGCACCTGAAACATTGCAGGGCTGCTTCCATTGCTGTTTTGCTCTCTGGGGTATTCCTTGTAGATTTGTGTGTGGGAGTAATACAACAAAAAATGCAGTTACTCTGCTAGTTATTGTGTTTATTGTACCTGACACTGGCAAAGAGAGAGGAGGAATTTCTGTCTTCCTGATCCATTATATAACAGTGCAATTATCCTGTGGAGAGTCAAATGAAAAAAACATTTTTCTTGCAGAGCTGATTAATTCCTGCCTCCCAGGAAAAAGAGCTCGAGAAATTTCCATGGGTCAGAAAGACAACTGGACATTCCAGGACTTACCAAGAACAGCCTGTGTTACACTGCTGCTGAAAGAGATACTGCCACTCATGCTTCAACATATCACCTAGTTTCTGGGTTTAATTGTGAGTCCTGATGTAGTGTAACAAATGATGCCACTTGTAGCACAGCAGGATTCCCATACACACAGCTGAAGCTGGAAGAGGAGCTAGCCAACTTAGGGACAGGTGACTGGACTAGATAACTGGACTAGATAACATATCCTATGCCTGACTCGGGAGACCTGCACAAGTTAGTTAGGGCTGACAGCTCACTGAGGGCATGGAATTGCTTTTGATTGTGGTCATGTCTTTCAAATTTGGTTTGGTGTGGGGTTTTTTAAAATTTAATTAATTTGCATTACTTAAAAAACCCCCACAGAACAGAACAACTGACACAACCTGTGGTCACATTTTCCTAAAAGCTTGCTGCTTCTGGGGCTCTGAATACAGCTCTGTAGTGGAAATGCAATATTTGAAAGGGAAAGGTGGGGGTTTCACTGCTGCAGATAAAATAGGTTGTATATGTATATATATGTATACGTATATTTTGTGGCTTCCACAAATATCAAACTCAGTTGACAATGAAAATTTATCCCAAAACTCAAAACTTCTCTTTTCTCAGGATAAGAAAAAAATCTGTAAGAAAGTGTTTTGATAACACTGATAAGCAGATGACTTGCAAATGCAGGTTTTGCTACTTTAGTTTGCCAGAAAAATGCCATTTGGCCGTCATATCTGAAGCAGAGAAGAGCTGCAACAAAAAGCTGTGTTTGCTGAATAGGTCACCATCCTCAGATGTTCATACCACCATCTATCTACCACATTGCCAGCAGCTACTGAGCACAAACGTTTGCCACCCGGACTGCTTGTGCTACACTGCAGTAAAAATAAAAGGGCCTGTATCCATGATATGATAATTAGCAGGTCCATGCTGCTGTTGGTAATTTGGAGTCAAATGACTCCACTGACAGGAGAGGCAGCAGTGAGCCTTGTGTGGACAAGACATTACAGGGCAAAAGCACCCACCAGAACAGCTCTATCACAAGAGCTTTCAGATTCACAGCAGACAGCTCATTGCTGTGTGCTCACACTGTGTGAGATGCCCAGCTGTTTTTAAAGGCAGCAAACTCAAATTTAATGTCAGCTGAACACAAATATCAGCAATGTCCCCATCTCAGCTGCCAGGATTTGTATGGTTGGAGGGTGGGAAGGCTCATTTTATGAACATTTGCTTCGTGATATGTGCAAAGGAGGATAAGAAACCTACTGAAGGTCTAAGACGAATGCTTAAATTAACAGAGGGCCTTGAGGTTTGCCCCAGCTTTCACATTTAGGAAATATGACTGTAATACCTGGTCATATATTCTCTTTCTTTTATTACAGAGCTCAAATAAGTGTCAGTGATATGGCAAAATACAGCTGAGGTTAGTAAAGCAAGTACTAATTTCTACTAATGTAAGATAAAGAATAGCCTGTTCCACTGACATACCAATTACACAGTAATTCCACTAATATTTATGAAAAGATACCTCTAAGGTTAAGAGTGAAATCCTTCTTTTCCACTGCACAGGACTTGAGTTAAATGCCAGTATCTGACCCTTCTGCTGCATGAAGTCCATCAACTAGCTCAGAGGTTCCTGCTTAGCAGACAAACACGAAATAATTGCTCCACTCAGGACTCTGTAAAGTGTGGTGAAAGCATCTTTATATTAGGTCTAGCATGCATTTTATATATTTTCTTCCACTTTACTTGATGGTGAGCTAAGCTGAAACTTTGCAAATGCAGATGCAGAATGTGGGAGCTATGTAGGATTATTAAACTCATTTTACTCTTGTTTTTGGGACAGAGGACCCAAGCATGCTTCTACTTTACTTCTGGGAATCTGGAACCCCTTGCTTCCTGAGGAAACCTTTCAATATCTCTGGCTAAGAAGCTATCCCCTTCTACTTTTCTGCCCCAAACTCCCAAGCATATTCATAGGGAGAGGGAAGACAATGGTGGAATTATTCTCTGCTGCCACAGTTGTTAATGTTTGCAGGTAACGCAGCTGAAGACCTGCTGGAGACTCGGACAGCACCATGGAGGCCTGCTTGAGAGCTCTAGAAGCATTCATTTCTCCTTCTGCTGCCACAACCTGCAAAGGAATAGAAGTGGAAATGCCATGGTGACACTGCCCTTAGCGAGGAAAACCCACTTTACAATGAGAAAACAAACAAATACTTGGATTCCTGGAACATGAGAATAAGAGGAAATGGCCTCAAGTTGCCCCAGGTTTAGACTGGTTATCAGAAAAAAGTTAGGTTGTCAAGCACAGGAACAGGATGCCAGGGAAGTGGTAGAGTCACCAATCCAGGAGATATTAAATAGACGTGTAGATGTGGTGCTTAGGGAGGTGGTTTCATGGTAGACTTGGCAGTGCTGGGTTAATGGTTGGACTCAATGATCTTAGAGTTTGGGTTTTTCCAACCCAAACAATTCTATGGTTTTATGACAAGGAAATGAGTGCTTGGGGATAGACATTGCTGTTGGTCTCACCTTAGCTCTTGTCTCTCGAGCAGCCTCTGCTTCAGCTGCCATTGCCCTCTGCATGGCCACAGGAATCCTGACATCTTTGATCTCCACACGGGCCACTTTGACTCCCCATTGCTCCGTGGCACTGTTGAGGATAGCCTTAGGGATAAACACACAACACACCACAAAGAGTACAGAGAGAAAGCCACACGATGTACCCTGCTACTTGGATAGAAGGACAGGCAGAGTGCAAACCTGGACAGCAGAAAGACAGACCCTCCAGGGATACAAGCATCCAGCATGGTGTGCATATGGTGGGCACTACAGTCTTATGAAACACTTGCTGGGTGACATCAGTGTCACCTGTGTGGCTTCTCTACTGCCTCCAAAATTATGACTCCCATGCTTTACCTGGGCACTTACCAAACTTCTCCCTTTTACAAAGAAATACTACAACAACTTCCTTAGCAGCACAATTCTGTACACCATGGGTGAAAGGCAAGGCACAGCCCTGCAGCACTGACACAATCTTCTGTGCTCTGGCTCCTGGGCACTCCCGCAATTCACGCCACCACCATGACCCTGGCTCTGCCCAAGGCCACTCTGCTGGCTGGAGAGGGGTAGACTCTCTCTTTGATTTGACTATGCCTTGCCTCTGACTGAAAACAGTAAATCAGGTGTTGGATTTTTTCTCTGCTCCCTTCTTGGCTGTCAAATAAAGAAAGGAACCAGATGGCATTTTGAAGCATAAAACAACTTGTTCTGTACTCTTAGTTGTAATGGCAGAAGATACAAGCCTTGCCTCAATCAAGGGTCTGCTCAAGACAGAGCTTCCCATGAGCAGCAAACGTTTCTCCATGCTTGCAGTGGCCTCTGTGCAAGATTAATCTGATTTATTTAGGTCACTGGATAATTTCAAAATCTTAATTGCTTTTCAATAAGAGATAACTCTGTTACAAGAACCTAGGGAAATACCTTTAAAATAACTCTTTCTGACTCTAAGCAATGAGATGTGTAATTGAAAAAACAATAAAGGGAGATTTTGTTATCATTGTTGAAAAGAGAAAGAGATAGTATTTCTAATTTGCTACCTCCCAGAACACATCTCCCTTGTCAGTGCTTGTCAGTGAATTTTGAGAGCCAGATTTACCTGGATGCTGCGTCCAATCTCCACACGACCTGCCAGCAGCTGAGCCAAGCTTTGCTTACCCAGAATGTTTCTCAGGGTTGTCTGTGCCAAAAGCAAGGTTGCTGAGTGGACATCACTGACGTTAGCAACAGCACTGACAGCACTGTAGATCCTGTAGTACACCACCCCATCAACTTGGGCAGTAACACCATCTTTTGTGAGAATCTGCATTTGAGAAATGTAAAGAACTAGAGAAGGATCCAATAACACATCCTTTGCCTAGGAAGGGAAATTATTTTTTTTCCCCCCCCTAGTGAGGCAAAGGCCCTGATAATTCAACGAAACTAAGAATTTCTTTGATTTCCTGGTCATTACCCTGAGGAATTACTTCAAGACAGCTCTCCAGCACCACCAATGTTTAAACTGGGACAAAATGTTGTACATAGCCTCTAAAGCACAGTTTCAATAGTAAGCAAATCTCATAACTTTAATTAATTTCTTCTGCAATAATACATGATGGTCAACTTCTTCTTTTCTTGTAGAAATGTGCATTAATGAAGTTATACATTGCATGCAACTTGGAAGATCTGTGCTACTTCCTCTAAACAATGTAAGAAACACCAGAAAATTGAAACAAAAATGAAAAGTGAAAAGAATTGTGAGAAGAAACTGAAAAAAATATTAAAGCATTCATAGAAGTGCTGTGTCATCTTTTGTCAGACAAGTTCCCTGAGGCTCAGCAGGTAGCTGGCCTCAGCAGAGCACTGATGATGCTCCACTATCTCTTCTCTCCTCAGCATCTTCTGCCTGCAAGCAAATGCTTCCCAGAAGCCCTGCCAACCGCTGCAGAAGCCTTGGCAAAACCTGCTAAGCCTTGTACAGCACAAGTACTGCAACATCTTCCTTCCAGCCTTGTGTTTTGGACAAGCAATTTTTCATTTCACCCCATGCAACCCTGCAACCTGCACTCTGAGAAAAGGCTCTTTGTGATTATGGAAAGATAATAGTCCAAGAAACAGCTTCTGGGGAACACAATGGGCAATCCTTGAGGCCAAAGGGGCCCTGGAGCTTTCTCTTTGCCCTCTGCTCTTTGTGTAAGGGAGGGGACAGCAGTGCCAACTCCACAAGCAGAAGCATTGTTCTACCATAGGATTGGGGTCAGATAGAGACAAAGCCTAATCAGGACAGGATTTCTCAGCAACTAATTCTTCAATTAAGTTCTTCAATCAATATTTGTCAATAAAATGCCTAAAGATACACCCTCCATTTCTGTTTGGGTCTAAGTTTTGTGGATGTTGTCTGCAAATTCCTGTTAATTTAAGGAGACTTGTTTCCCATATGTAATTTGCCTTTTCAGGAACATGTAGAAGGCTCTTTAGAAGGGTGAGCTCCATGTCAGATCCAATTTCATTAGGACATTCATTTACAAGTGGGAATTTTGTATTCGCTTCTCTGTTGTTCTCTCTGTCTCCCATGCATGCTTGTATTCCACTTCCCTTGTCTTTTATCTCACAGTTCTGAACATCAGCTTGACTGCAATGCTGCATCCTCACATTTTTGTAAGCTGAATCATGGAATGGTGTGGGTTGAAAGCAACCCTAAAGATCATCTAGCTCCAACCCTGCTGCCATGGGCAGGGACACCTTCTACAAGACCAGATTGCTCAGCACCCCATCCAACCTGGCCTTGAACACTTCCAAGGATGATGCATCCACAGCTCCTTTGGGCAAGAAGAAATTTTGTCAGCAGTTTGAAACTCAAGATACAGAAAAGAAGCTGAATTTGTTATGGTACCTGAGAGCTACAAGATTATAAAACATCTTTTTTTTTTTTTTTTTTTTTTGGATCATGCCATGAATCAGTTGCATCTTTTGTTTCTGGCTTAGATGGCTGCTAGAGAATAGTTACCTCTTGTGGAGGAATCTTACAGGCAACCATTCTGAGGTCAACCTTGACAAATGTATCTGTACATGGAAGTATGAGGATCATACCTGAAAAATAAAAATAGAAATAATTAGATGAAACACCTCTGAAAGTTTAGTCCAGAACCAGCTGTGTTGTACAAAGCAAACAGATGGAAATACCCACACAGTGGAGAATGAGCCCACCTTATCATTATAGAAGCTCTTTCTGCTACAGGAGGTCACAACAGTGAGGTTTTGCATTTTCAAATAACATAGGGAAATGCAGATATCTGCAAATAATGTGAACTCATTAGAGGTTAATGACCTAAGGCTGTGCTCTGGCAATGGGCAGACTACAACTCTGGTCTTAAATCTACCATGAGACTTTTGGCAAAAATTCCTTCCATGCCTTTGTTCTGTTTCCCCTTTTTAAATTATAAGCCATTTATGGTTCAATACGTCTGTACCCAGGAAAGACGTCCCCAGATCCATTCCTGCGTGGTTCCCACATGAGAAACATTGTCTCAAGATATGACCCATCCTGTGAAGAAGTCCCCACTCTCATTCACTGGAGAGGGAGACTGGACACAACTATTCTAGTCTCAGCATTTTGCTTTGGTGCCCAGAGCCACTCAGAAGAGCTCTGCACCAGCCCCAGCTGCTCTTTTGAGCTCATGACTATTATCCAAGAGGAAGGACAGTCCTGAAAAGGACTTTTTCCTGTTATTTCAACTTCCGGTTTCCCAGTTTCACTGCGCAGAGGTGGCAATGCACCAACACAAACACCTCATGATGTTGGGTTTGGTTTGAGTTTGTGACTTGTAACCTGACCTGAAGTGACTGTAACAAACTCTACATAGATGCTGAATATCTTGGCCCTGACACATTTACCATTTTCAGAGGAGAAACAGCTAAGGAGTTGGCAGCAACAATCAGTGTTGGAAGTGAGGTACATGGAGAAAGGCCACAACAGTCACTCATAAAAGAGTGCAGATCTGAGGCAGACCTGAACACTGCATTTAGATCTCTCTGCAGTCCCCTACCAGTGTTTGCAGCATGAGCTCAACCTTTTGTTGTCCAATCTCCTCAACAACAAAGCCATACCTGGTATCAAGGTACTCAAACTGCTGTGCTGTGACAGGAGGGTGGCTTTATCTTCTCTTCAGAAAAGCAAATGGTCTGCAGGTAAAGGAACTGCAGTAGAGAGAACCTTCTCAGTCCCCTCTATGTCGTGAAGAAGGATTTCATGAACCTCTGCAATTCTCTATGTGATTAGAGTGCATCATAATAAAACAAATAAAGCTGGTGGATTTTAACAGAATAAAACTGCATGCATTCACCTGCTCCCTTTGCTTTCTTAGACTGTATACGTCCCAGACGAAATACAACAGCTCGCTCATATTCTCTGATAACCTGGAAAATTTAAAGTTTAGAATTTTACAACTAATTCTACTCTCTGGTCTGATTATCTTTAATCTTTGGCATACATATTAAATGTGAAAAAAGAAGAAATAATATAGGAGGCAACAAAGCTGCAAACCACTAGGTGTTTTACAACTTCTACTTACCCCATGTTTTGCTGAAAAAAACTCAGACCCTGGCCCTGCAAATGTGTTACAAAACAGATCAAATATGAAAGAATTGCCGCTGATCTAATGAGGCTATCCCACAGCTCTCTCAACATCAGCACTACACTCAGAGGAGCTGTAGGCAAACCGTGTCTCACCTCAGGTAGCCTAGCTAACTACTTCAGTTAGTGCATCGCAACTACTGAAGGCCTGGAGTTCATGTAATTCACACCTTAAGACTGCTTGAAATTATTATGCCCATGTCCTGAAGGGGCATTGTGTGGGTGTAGGCTATGCAGTTTTTCTCAATGTACCCATCTTCCTGTGTTAATCCCTACTGCTGGCAGCAACAGATATGAGTTCTTTAGAAAAGTCTGTAGATTTATTTTCCCACTGTTGTAAGTCAGAGAAGTTTACCTGATGATGGAAGTTGAGACTGGAGGAAATTAAACAAGAAAGTTGTGGTGATACAGAAAGTTAGTGAAAGAACATGGATCTTCGTCCCAGAACACATCTTTGCTACAAGCCCTTATGATTTCCAAAAAGCAAATGTAAAGTGCCTTGTCTTAACTAAATTGATAAAAAAATAACACCAATGATAACAGAGTATTCTTATGTACCTCAGATCCCTCTAGCTTACCTTCATACATGCCCAGATGGAAATAGGAAAGGTAATAAGCACCAGGAGGAATGAAAGGGAAACCAGGATCCAGCCACAGACACCAATTCCTTCCCGCCTGTCAGCTATAAAAGAATATAAGGTAGAAGAGCAATGAATGCAAAATTTGAAGAGTTATCCCAGGGATGTAGATCTAGCCCAGTGCAATCATAAAGGACTGCAAAGTCCAGAGACTCGCTCCCTCTTCTTCCATCACTCAAAGAAAGACATCAAAGACCTAACCAAACATCCAGTCTTATGGCCCTTCTGCCCAAAAGGTCAAAAAAGGTTCAGAAAATGCATTTTGCAACAGAAAGAAAAAGGAAAAATGTAAGATATTGCCAAAGGTGGGGGCTGTGAAGGAGAACTAAAAACCTTGTGTGGAGTATCCGTGAGTATGAATCTGTCAGTGCACCATGGATGGGGTAAAAGATTTAGTTTGTATGAAACAGATAATAAGGAAAATGAGAGGAACTATTGCTGCATTTATACAAAGGTTTTGAGGAATATTGATGGACCAGTTCATCCAGTGAACCATAAACTTCAAAATTACTGCTTGTCAAAATGCAGACCCACGCATTGTAAGCAGTTGTCTTATTGAGTTGAGCTTGTCTCATCTCAAAATTTCATTACCAAAAAAAAAACCCCTCTCAAAAAAAAAAAAAAAGTCCACCAAACAAACAAAAAACTCCCCACCAAATTTCATTATTTTGATGCCTGAAGGGAAGGAAGTAGTGAGTAGTTGTTCAAATGCTAAAAGTTCTGGAGGCTCTTTGCAAGGAAAGTGTGACCAAGGAGCATGTGGTCTTTGAAGAGAAGAACAGCTGGAGTTGCTGAAATCCTCAAAGAATAGGCAAGGAGGGAATCAGGACAGTCTTGTTGTTAGGACAGAGTGCTGCAGGATCAACTGAATTCTGTTAAATGCAGAAATGCGTCAGGAGAGTCACAAGGTAAGCAGCAGCAGCAGGGATGCAGGATGAGATAGTCCTAGGGGTTGCCTGGCTGCATGGTTTGGGCCAGAAGAGGATTTTTGCAGGCATGAGTATCAGCAGATGGGAAGCTGAACACCACAGCCTATGTTTCCCAGTGCAAGAGGAAGAGGCAGGACAAAGGGACAAAGTCTCAGAGGTCTCCTCAGAGAACCTCCACCATGCTGATGGAAAGGTGCAAGGTGTTTTGGATAGTTTTCAAAGAAAATTCACATGCATATAGAAACTGATAAATAGGAAACAATTCAATTTATACTGTCTGCAAAAAACCAACTTGTTACCACGATGAAAACATCCCGAGGCTCCCTCACCTGTAAGACACAAGCTAAAAGACCAGCAGAGCAGGACTGACCGGTTTGTCAGAAGACTCCCAGCAACCCCAGAGGAGGAAATACAGCACAGCCCTCCTGAAGCTCCTGCCCCTCCTATCCGTGCATGGCTGGGCTGTGCCTGATGGTAATGGTAGCTGCACACCTGGGTGTTACCTCCAGCCCTTTGTTGCTTGCAGTTTTGCCCATCCTACTTTGAGGTCCCTGCTGCAGATTTAATCATTCACGCTTAAACACGTGTGTCCAAGAGGGCCCAGTTTCAGGCGTTCATGAGAGCTAGGCACAGAACTGTTGTAGTGGGACCCCAGGTTTCCTCCTCATCCTTTCCAAAAAACAGCAATTTTAAATCCTTAGTTGTTTCATGAGGTATCATCAGGCATTCTGCAATCGGTGGTACAAATGATTTGAGGAGTGCCCCTGAACAAATTACGAGGCAAACCTTAAGGCCATGGGAATGAAGACAGAATTTTTAGGATTTAATATGAAAATCTTAACACAGTCACTGCTGTCTATTTGCCACATAGTGTACTTCACGTTACACTAGTGATGAGTCAGGCTACAACTAGATAAACAAAGTACCAGCAGTCAAGTGTCTTTTAATCAGCAGAAAGAGATCAAGGAAAACTCATGGAATGGGCATCGTTCATAATTCTGAATCTGAAACCTGGGGAAATTATTCATGAAGGGATGTTCTGTTCACTTTAGCAGAATTCAACATTTTTAGTCTCTCTCTTCATTTCACCTAAATGACTAGCTTACAGAAAATATCTATTCCTGATGCAGGCCAGGATGCCATTGGCCTTCTTGGCCACCTGGGCACACTGCTGGCTCATGTTCAGTTTCCTGTCAATCCAAACTCCCAGATCCCTTTCTGCCTGGCTGCTCTCCAGCCACTCTGTGCCCAGCCTGTAGCGCTGCAGGGGGTTGTTGTGGCCAAAGTGTGGGACCCGGCACTTGGCCTTGTTGAACTTTGTCCCATTGGAATCAGCCCAACTCTCCAGCCTATCCAGGTCCCTCTGTAGAGCCCTTCTGCCTTCCAGCAGATCAACACTCCCCTCCAACTTGGTGTCATCTGCAAATTTGCTAATGGTGGACTCAATCCCCTCATCTAAATCATCAATAAGGATATTAAACAGGACTGGGCCCAACACTGATCCCTGGGGGACACCACTGGTGACCGGCCGCCAGCTGGATGCAGCCCCGTTCACCAGCACTCTCTGGGCCCGGCCCTCCAGCCAGTTCTTAACCCAGCACAGAGTGCCCCTGCCCAAGCCATGGGCTGCCAGCTTTTTCAGGACTATGCTATGGGAGATGGTGTCAAAGGCTTTGCTGAAGTCCAGATAGACACATCCACAGCCTTCCCCTCACCCACCAGGCAGGTTATCTGATTATGAAAGGAGATCAGGTTGGTCAGACAGGACTTGCCCTTCCTAAACCTGTGCTGGTTGGGTCTCATACCTTGTCTATCCTAGAGCTGTTGTGTGATTGTACTGTAAGAGCTCATCATTTAGTAGTTGTGGAAAAGCTCCAGGACAACTCATAAGATTCACTTCAGGGTACATCACAAACACACTTGATACACAAAATTGCAATGTGGGTTACAAACTTGGAAGGCAAATGAAAAGTTCACTGTGGGCAAAAATCTCCCAAGTCTCCTACAGAAAGCAAAAGATGGAGTAGACTTAGCTTCTTTAATCGCCATGTCCCTTCCTGCTTTCTACTAGCACCCAAATCAATCCTGCTGAGACTCTTGCTTGTCCCAGTGCACTGTCCACACCTATGGCCAGACATAACGGTGAAAACAGCAGACATTTCCAGTAACAATTTGGTTTGAAGAGAGCACCAGGTAGGTATTCATCACACAAGTACAATCACATTAAGTCTACTCTTCTTCTGCCTTCCTTAAGTCATACTTTTCCCTTTCCATCCCTCCATCCCACCCTACAAGTGTATCAATAGCTGAATCAGTCATTTTTGGTGCTGGGGTCATGCTGGCAGAAGGTAGACTCTGGCAGGGTAGCATGAGTGGTAGATTCTGAATTATCATCTCCTGACTATGTGGGAGATTAAATGTGCTTTACTTGTTTGGTTAGTTCTGGTCCTTTTTATTATTATTGAGAAAAAAACCCACACATACAAAACAATGCTTACCAATTAGATGCTCTGTGTTGATTTTCTTGGGTATCTCCCTCTGGGGTTCCATCCCATTTGAGGGAAGATCTGATCCCCTCACAGACAAGACAGCAGTGTACCTTGAAACTGCACAGTGCTCATGCTATTTGCTGAAGAGGGAGGCAAAGTGAGAAGGAGAAATCCCTTGTATGAGAGTCCCCTGGGAGTTAGTTACCCTGGTGAGGAGAGGATGTTTACAAACACAGTCTTGCAGATCGGGGTTGTCTCTGATGTAACTCCCTGGTCTTCTGTGGCCGTGTTCTGTCTGGGTATGCATTTGGCCTAGCTGGTTTTAGACCCCAAAAACACAAGCTAGAAGTAATTTCTATGAATCTGTCACCACAGAGAAAAAAATGCAAACAAGACATGACAGAAACAGAAGACAAAGAGAAAACAAGTCCTGTGAGTAGCAGCTGAGGTTGAGCCCAAAGAAAAGGAGGCTCAGGAGAGACCCTATTGCTCTCTACAACTGTCTGAAAGGAGGTTAAAGTGAAGCAAGGGTCAGTCTCTTCTCCCAATAAACAAGCAATATCTCAAGAGAAAATGGCCTCAAGTTGTGCCAGGGGAGGTTTAGATGAAGAATTAGGAAAAATTTCCTTTACCAAAAGGGTTGTCAAACATGGAACAAGCTGCCCAGGGGAGTGGTTGGGTACCCATCCCTGGTGGTGTTTAAAGGACATGTAGATGTGGCACTTAAGGATGTAATTTAGTGATGGACTTGGCACCGCTGGGTTAATGGCTGGACTCGGTGATCTTAAGAGGGCTCTTCTCCAATCCATGATTCTACAAAGCCAGAAGGTAGAGATTGAGTACCACTCCTCTGCTGTTCTGGGGCTCAGCTACTGCTCACATCTCAAACACCAGCAACATAAATAAATCTCCAGGTGAGGTCTCCATGCTGTGTTAAATAGCTCACCACACACTTCTTCATACTGTCCATCAGTACAGGCCGAGCCCAGTTGAGCAAGACAACCTAAAAACTGGAGAAGCATTTCAGCTCCGGTCTTAAAACTGTCCCCCAAATAAAAGCATTTTTTACAAAATATTTTGACGATCAAACGAAACACAGCATTTCAGACTAAGCCATTTCTGAAAGCTGCAGGAGTGGAGGGCAACCTTCTCAAAGGAGAAAGCTGTTGCTTGTTATTTGAGTAAAAAATAAGGGGTGTTTTTTCATATGTAATTTATGAGTTTGACAGACACACGCATCAATTATCTGTAGGCATCTGTCATCTAGAATATCTCTGAAGATCTGGTTCCAACTTCATTTCACCCAAGTCTTCCTCTCTGACAGTAATCACACTGGTCCCAGATGGGTCATTCAAAGCTGACTGCAACCCTGAGAACACATTCTCAGCCTCACAGAGAGGAAATTACACCACCGAAACCGATGTTTTAAATCACAGTGAAAGCCATAAGTACAAACAGCTTGAAAAATTGGGATTGACATGCTTCTTGCAAATGTGTGACAATATCCATTTTAAGTCATTAAGGCATTTTCCTCATTATTTGTTTTCTGTACACTGAGCTGTAAGATCAAACCTCTTCAAGACAGATGCTTAATAGCAGGGTAGCAAGCATAAACAGTTACAAGAAAAATGTGTTTTAATTATTTCAGAAGAAAAAGCATAATATGCAAAACTAACACAAAAATTTTCCATTTTACAGCAACTTTTTAATTGAAAATTTTATTGAAAATAACTTAATTCTGAGCCATTTGAATGCCACAATTTACACAGCTGCTTATATCATCAGATAAATGAGCAAAACATAAAATCTTAACAGAAATAATTCCTCCCTGCTATTTATTGATAATTCCCTGAGGTGCCTGTAAATATAGTCCTTAAAAGGTGAATAAAGCAGATGGTGTTTTTCATTTGTGTTCAGGAACATCACAGCATTAGTTTCTTCATTTTAACTTCAGCTGCACTTTTACTTGCCATTTAAAAAATTTTCAATTCAAGGCAAGCCAATCTTAATCCTTTCTCCTTGGGGCTATACTGGGGCATGTGGATAACTCGTGTCCCAGAGTGTTACAGAACACTCAGACAATAAAATACAAGACCCCTGGGGCAAAATAGTTTACAAGTTGCAAGTTCACTGTGTTGAACAGCCTGGTGCAGTCCTGTGTCAGGGCACTACCACAAAGACAATCAGACTGAGTTCAAAGCTGCTTTAGCAGGACTTACTGACTTAGAAGAAACATCAGATGACTGTGGCTTGGGCTGATGGCAGTTCAGCTATTTCTGCAGAGCGTTGATAAAGCTAAAGCCTTCAACTTCTGTTTAAAAAGCAGAGTAAGGGCTCAGGTCAGGCATGATTAGGTGCTTACCTGTAAGCATGCCATTCTCTGGCACTTCTCTGCAAAAACTGCTGCATTTACAAATGGCACCAGTCCTTCGTCTCTACAGTGCCCAGTTGCTCCCACTTATCTCATCATCCAACTGTAGAGACTAAATCATACAGACCAAGCGCCCACTTCAAAGTCTGTTAAAACCAGAAGGGTGATTCTTACCCACAGTGCCAATCCCAAAGGTATATAAAAGAATCATCAGACAATGGCCACATGAGATTTGAAAAAAGTTGTAGATTTCAGTTTGTCTTTTTCTGACCTTTTTAGGCCCATACTACCTGCCTTCTCAAGCACTGGCTTCAGCCATTTCTCAAAGACTTCTCAGCTTAGTCCTTCCCTGGCCCTGAATTCTGCCCACAGAATAGGCACTATTTGCTTCACACTCATCATGCCTTTTCCCCAAATCAAAATTCAGAAGACAGGGAAGGACAGAGAGCAGATTAACAGTACTGTCCTGTTGCTTGTAGGAATGTCCCTATAGTGCTGCTCCTCCTCATGAAAGGGTCATTGGCTTTCAATAGCCGAAGACCAGGAGACAACAGGAAGGCCTCCTCTGGCTACACTTCACTAGAGCATGAGTAAATAGGAGAGAGAGGCAATCAAACAGATTGCTCCCATCTCAATCGCGAAAGGAAGGCAATTTGCAAGAAACAAGAACGTTCACAGCATGGCAAGTTTCCTTTCAGGCCCAGCCACACTTGCAATACTCATTTGCAAACTCGCAATACTCATTTGCAAATAGGAGGAAGAGGAGGAGAGAAAATTGCTCTGTTTCTCTCATATTCACTGCAGCTGTAATTAAAGTACTTGAAAGAAACATTGAAACGCTTGCAAACACAATCCCAGCATGTTCGTAGTTCTTCCAAAAAAGATTTTATTTCAAAGAACACTTTACTCGACTTATCTTTGCAGTCTGTCAACATAGATGAAATGCAGCAGTAATAGGCAACTTGAACAGTGAAAAAAATCATAGTTAGTTCAGAATTAAAGTCACACAGCCAAAGCCTTTTCCCAGCACAGGGTCAGTGTAAGGTGGTTTGCCTCAGGAACAGACTTTTCCTTGGCTTTTTAAAAATGGTGCTCAACAAAGCATGAAAGAGCTCAGGAGAAATCACCTCCTTCACATATTCCAAGGCTGGGTCACAGGAGTTTGCTACAATGAAGAACACAGACTTTATTCCTGAAGAGAAAAAAAAATAATAAAGAATGATTTTACATCAGGAGAAATATTTAGGAAATTGAATTTTATCTTAATCCTAAGCACTGGAAAGTTCAATTTACATAATTCTGCTCAATATGTTTCACTAAGAACCAGAGAGACCATCCAAGACATAGGAACTTGACAGTTTAATGCTTCTTGAATTATTCATTTGTCTGACACAGATGGGAGTGTGTCTGTAAAACCTATGTATGAAATAGTCTTCTCTGGACGATGTGGCTAGACACCACTTACTAACTACACTGTTTCAGGAGAAAAGCATTTAATATAGTGCATTTTCACTATTTCTCACCTGTTTTAGTTTGCAGAAACAAGGCTTCACAATCTCTTCAGTATCTTTGGGTTGTCCTATGTTCAGACAGAAAACCCCACACCCCACGGCCATTCAACAGACGTTTTGAGAAAGAGGTACAAACTGCCTACTTTTTGATAAAAACTGCATATTACTTGTTTTTTACTAAAAGGTAATGTAAATTAGTTCAAACATTGATTAATTAATGGGAAAACTAGGATTAAAGTAGGATATGAAACTTAGGTCCACAGTACGGTTACAAAATGCTTACTGACTTTGAACTACTTTACATTTCTATCTATGGGACAAAAGTCAATCTGCTTTGATATCTATATCTTTATTTTCTCCTTCTCCAATTGATCTACAAATCTACAATGAACAAATTATGAAAAGAATGAGAAGTGTAATGAAAGACGGTAGAGATTTCTTCCACAGATTTCTTGAGACAAGATAAAATGCACCAATTTTAAAAGCAGTCCAGAGTAGAAAATCATAGTTCAACAGGTTTCAAAAAACTTAAAAAAAAAAGCAAGAGCACAATGTTTTTATGTTTAGATTTAACATAGTATGTCAATTTGATTATTAAAATATAAAACTATCCAGTTGCTGCCAAATTTTTCATCTAAAAAATTCATAGAATATCCCTACTGTCACTCTTTAGGAAGTTAGTTTTATCATTCTGGACAGAGTTCTGCATCATAAAGAAATGGCATAAGCAAGACCAAACATTAGAAGTATCTTAGTAAAAACAAGTTTATTCATTTGTATTTTAGGTAAATATGTAAATAGTCAGCAAAGCCTTTTTGCCGTGACTGTAAACTTTTTATTTAAAAAAAATTATGTTAAAAACCAATACAGCAATTTTTGTTAACATTCTAAAAAAGTTTGTTCACATCTTGAAAGAAAATACATTAGCAACATCTCCCAGCAGAATCAATCTTTAAAAAAGTAAAACTCTATGTGCAGAACTTTTCTACAGTGTAGTATCCTCTACATTTTAATTTAATCACATGATTGAATATTATTCGTCTCTATTGTCTCTGGAACATGATCAAGAGTATATCTTAAATAGATGATACTCAATGACGTGTTACACATTGCCACAGGTACTAACATTATTAGAAGAGTGCACAACTGAATTTCACTAACAAAGCAAGACCTTTCTATATGCTGCATCATAACTCGTAACAGTTAATTTAGCTATATGCCTTTAAAATCATGTACGTT